GATCATAGTTGCCTCGAAACGGTTGCCTCGGAAAAATGATCTAAGACATTAGGGTTACCGCTAAGGCGTCCTAACATTGCTTTAGTGACCGCACGTCCCTTAATCGAATTGACCCTTAAAACTCCAACGAAGATGCTACCTACTCATCAATAGCGGGATAGCATTGTCTAAAGGACATTAGTACAGATTGATTCCTTTTTCGAGTAGGTAGATGGTTCTTAATTACTTGCTCTCTCAAAACAAAACAAAACTTTTCGCACTTACACCTTTCAAACAAAAAAAACTTCTTTCAAACCCACAAACACAAAGAAAAGAAAATTTTGAAAACACTTTGAGCAAGTACCTAAGAGCCCGTGGATAAACACAGATAGAAAGGGTGCTAACACCTTCCCTTTCTATAATCTACCCCCCGGACCCGAGAAACATCTCGAAAAAGGAATTTTTCTGTGCTTTTTTCCTTTCCTTGTTGGATAAAATAAAAGACGGTGGCGACTCTTGCTTACCGCGACATTTTGCGAAAACAAACGTAAAACGCGAACCAGCATTCCGAAAAATAGTCAGTTCTCTCCCACCGTATCACAAAGTCAAATAGAGTCTTTACCACTTTTTGATTCTTGACAAAAAGGGGGAGAATGAAAGATATTTTGACTCCTATGAGAAGCCATATCAGAAGATCTTCAGGGAAGTATTTTATTTTCTCGTTATCTGAGTATTCTACTCAGGGGGAGCCTTTTTTAATTTTTGTTCTTTATATTCCATCAAAATATACAAGTTTTTGTCATCATCAAAAAGGGGAACATTGTTAGAATATAATTTGGTTGTACATCCCAGTAAGAGTTTTAATAATAACAAATACATGATATAAAGAACAAATATGATCGCTAATAAAAGCATCTTTACATGCAGGAAGTTCTAATGTGAAAAAGATGTTCTGATGTAACTGGAAGTTCTGCCAGAACATCACTAGAAGTTTTGATTATGCGAGCATAGAAGTTGAGAGTACCATGATAGATTTAGACGCATCAAATCTGTGTGACACGCTTATATGAAGAAGTTCTGTTACAACTTCTGAATGCACCAGCGCTGTGAAACAGGATCTCTAATACTCTGATCTGCAAAGTTTTGAACAAACAGTAAGGGACTCCCGACGGTAATATTCATCCTCTGATGTGAGAAGTTCTGAAGTGTTACAATTCTATCAATGTAATATCATAAGTAACGGCTACAAACAGACAATGTTCTCCTGGTTTGGAAAGTTGATTAACTCGTGTTATGGACATACCAAAAGTATCTTCTTATGTCACTATTGCATGGCCTATATAAAGCAGACAAAAATAAGATTTCTTGTGATGAACTACTGCGCACAAAAAGAAGAAATCACGTGAAACTACAACAACACAACAATCATCTTTCATCCTTAAACATTCATATTTAAACTGTGTAAAACATCATTGCTAGTGATACTGTTTTAGTAGAAACACCATTGTACACATTTATTCAATTAACTGTTTAGACATTTCCTTAAGAAAACCGAGATGTGGTTTTGGACTCAAGAAGACTTTGGCAGTAGTCAAAGTAGTTTTGTAATCAAAATTGATTAGTGAATTAAGACCTCGTTGGAGAGAGGCGGAATCACCTTGGAAACGAACCAGGATAAAAATCATCGTCTGCTTTCCATTGTATTTTGAGATCCAATTCAACCCCCCCCCCCTTTCTTGTGTTTTTCACTTCTTCAGTATTGTTGGATTAAAATATCCAGCGTCAACCTTAAGGATTCGAAGGACTTAACATCCCCCCATGGGCGCCTACACAGGTGTGTTAGATGGGCCAAGTAGGCCCCTTGTTCGATTCACTATAAATAAATAGAGTAGCACCTTAGCTACAAGAAATTGCTTTTAGCGCAGTGGTAAGCGCTTGATCAAGTTTGCGTGGTATCGGAGCAAGGTCATGGGTTCGAATCCCCCAACTGACACTGGGGGGAGATTGTTGGATCAAAATATTCAGCGTCAACTTTAGGGATTAGAAGGGCTTAACATCCCCCCATGGGCGCCTACACAGGTGTGTTAGGTGGGCCAGGTAGGCCCATTGTTCGATTCTCTATAAGGAAATAGAGTAGTACCTTGTCTACAAGCAATTGCTTTTAGCATAGTGGTAAGGGCTTGATCTAGTTTACGATTCGCTATGGTGACATAAGAAGATACTTTTGGTATGTCCATAACACGAGTTAATGAACTTTCTAAACCATGAGATCCTTGTCTGTTTGTAGTCGTTACTTATGATATTGCATTAATAGAATTGTAACGCTTCAGAACTTCTCACATCAGATGATGAATATTACCGTTGGGAGTCCTTACTGTTTGTTCAAAACTTTGCAGATCAGAGTATCAGAGATCCTGTTTCACAACGTTGGTTCATTCAGAAGTTGTAACAAAAATTCTTCATATAAGCGTGTCACACAGATTTGACGCGTCTGAATCTATCATGGTACTCTCAACTTCTATGCTCGCATAATCAAAACTTCTAGTGATGTTCTGGAAGAACTTCCAGTAACATCAGAACATTTTTTTCACATCAGAACTTCCTTCGTGTAAAGATACTTTTATTAGGGAGCATATTTGTTCTTTATATCATGTGTTTGTTATCATCAAAACTCTTACTGGGATGTAGAATCAAATTATGTTCTAACAATCACCCCCTTTTTGATGATAACAAAAGCTTGTATATTTTGATGGAATATAAAGAACAAATATTAAAAGGCTCCCCCTGAGTAGAATACTCAGATAACGAGAAAATAAAATACTTCCCTGAAGATCTTCTGATATGGCTTCTCATAGGAGTCAAAATATCTTTCAGGTTCTATTTATATAACCACTTATGTGGATTGCAAGTTAAAAGTCCAATTAAGGCTGCAAGCTAAAAGCCCAATTAAGCATACGAGTATCATATCTTATGATATACCACATATCACTTAAGCGCGTGGTACCTTACCACATTTCATATTTCACTTAAGTACACCGTACCTTACGGTATTCCTTATTTGCTATATCTCTCATCAACCTGTCCTTATGTGTGTGACTCTGTAGGTTTTCGTGACGTTGACAATTATATTAAATTACACATTTAACATAATAAACAGTGAGCGATATCTATCAACACATCACTGCTATCCAAGTCACGAAAATATCATGTGATATGACAAAACCTTTATGTGATAATATTTGTGTGTACAACTATCCTTTTGGCCTTATGACTATATTGAGCACAAGGCATAAACCGTGTCATCTTTGTCTTGTTCAATATTGGTCCCTTAGACATTTATCCTGTTATGCAGGATGGACAAATTTCATCTAGGTTACTCATGTCCCTCAACATGCTTTGTGAAGTACCCATCAACTGTCTTTATGGTCATCCAGTTACGGATAACATTTGATCAACAATAAAATACTTAACTCCACATCTAAGGTCCATAGTAGTTTTAGGTCGAATGGTGGTATACACCATTATCACAATGAGAATAACTTATGACACCTTGCGTAATATTTTATGTAGTATTCTCATAGCGGGTCAATTCAGTATAAATATTACTCTCAATATTCATACATATGTCAAGACTTGATAAGTCCTTATCCATGATCCATGAGGTGTGATCATCAGTCTATCTTCATAATAATCTCAATGCTTTAATGTTATCACACTTTGCAATAAAGCTCGACTACAGATATTTTAAGAATAATATTCTTATATTTAATGGGATCTCATGATTAAGTTACACTTAATATTTCATTAAACAAACGAACTATTCTAGGGACTCTATTATTTTGGAAAAGCAAACATAATAAAGAAATGCCTTTATTATTAATAAATAATTCGATACAAGTATCTAAAGTATTGGCCTTTAGAGCTTACACCAACACTTCAACCTTCTAGTTTACTTCCACGCGTATTCAATATTTAAACTACTGCAAATCCATTATCTCTCTGGTAGTTGCCTTAAAATACCTTCAAGTTATTTAAACTTTGGACTTAAGAATATATTAAGTCCTTTATATCGGATGAGTGTGTCGAAATCGATAATTTGTCGAAGGATTGATTAGTGTAACCCTTTTCGAGATTCTGGATCTATTTTAAAGAGAAATTGATCATATAATCTTGTGAATCTGTTCTTGAGAGGATTTCAAACTAAGCCTAGTAAGTTTGTCGAACCATCTTGATTGACATGTCAAGTGTGTGGAAGACTAAGTCTTTTTATACTTAACCATTTCTAAATGTAGCCATTACCAATTCTTTTCAGAATTCTTCAGCTATAATTTCCAGACTAACAACGTGTCAAGACATATGGTTGCAAAGAATTCTATATAGTTTGAGCCTAAAACACATTGATATAAGGTTTCACCTTTTGAAGAACCTATGTACTGATGAAAAATTTAATTGATGTTTTGTGCTTCGCAAGACCAGCTAATTGATAAGTCTCCAAAGCTTGAACTATTCGAGAAGCTCAAGAAACTAGTTGGAATTTGATTTCAAAGACAGCTAATTCTTGTTTTTGATGTTGCGTTTTGATTCTATTTGTAAACCAGCTGTTTGGACAAATTGACTTAAGAGAGATTGTTAGTTTTAGACTTTCTTAAGTTTGTTAGAATAACTGAAAAATCAGTTAGGGTAACAAATTTTCAGTTGAAAGTTTGTTTGGTATGTAAGTCATATAAATGCAATTGGCCTTGGTAATAAAATCATAAGTTGCAGTGCATAGCTTCCTTTCCTAACAAAAACTTGTATTCAAAAATGGATTAACTCATAGTACAACATAAACTTTTGAATGCAACATTGGATCTTAGAATCATAATTAATAACTTGTAATCATCTCATAAATATTAAACAAACTTTTTCAACATTCCACTCATAAATCATAATATATAAATTCACAAGAAACAATCCAAAAGAGAAAAACGAAAAAGGAGAATTGCAAAACAAGAACATTAAAATACAATGGAAACATAATTTCAGGTAGAAGAAGCCTTGGTGAGTGAAGTAATAGTAATATTAACACCCACAACAGCTTCTTTAGTCTCAAACGTAAAAGTATCATACCTCAAGAAAAACTCAACCAAGAACAATCTACACAAAAGCACAACAAGATTCTTCCCAGGACACTGCTTGTTATCCACAGAAGGCTCGTCTGTTTCTTTCCCATTCGACCACAAAACATACTTCAACAACTTTTCACCTTCTCCAACAAACCTCTTTGGAACAAAAACCTCAGCATCATCGAAAATCCTAGGATCCTTAGTAGCAAAAGGTTGGTATCCAAATAACATCTCACCCTTTTTAACTTCAAAAGCAGCATCATGACTCTTCACAATCAAATCCTCTCTTGCTTTTGCATATTGATAACGAACAATCGGTTCAATCCTCATAGTCTCATAAACAACAGATTTTACTAATGCCATTTTTTCCAATGCCTGAATTGTTACTCCACCTTCTTGTTTCACGACGGTTCTTATCTCGTTTGCGAGTTCTTTGTGCAGCTCTTGGCCGCTTAAACCTACCAATTTGAAGAGTGTTGGGAACTGATTCTTGAATCCGCCATATGAGTTGAAACAAGCTATAAAAATGAGCTGGTGACATGCTTCAGTTCTTTTCAATCCGGCTTTTTCTGCTTCATTTAAAAGTGTTACAGCTGAAGAAGAAAATGCTTGGTAGAGCTTCTTGTAAGAGGAACTGACCAAACATGTTGTAATATAGTTAATGTTAGGAACCGACCAAACATGTTGTAAGAGTTCAAAATTATTTTAATTTAAAATAGAGATTAGTTTCATGAATGAGATAAAATAGGAAATATAAAACTATAATTAAACTAAATAGTTATAATAAATATTAAATATTTTTTCAAGATCTAATCATTGTAATTGATTAATTGTTATAGTGTAAATGACTTAAATAGATAGTAATATAATAATTTAATTTCTAATTATATCATTAAGTTAATTGGATCAACACAATTTAGATTTTTTTTTTTGAATTATTAAAGATGATTATTATTTTGTCATAATATTTGTTGATCACTAGCTATTTAAAAAAAGGTAACATTTTATGGTTTTAATATTTTGTGTTTTTTTGAATAATTTTTAAATTATTGTATTGATAAAGAGATAAAAAAAAAGTCTTTGAACAGTTGTCAATATTTTAAGAAAAATGGAAATTGAAAGAAAATATTGTTTTGAATGTGAAAATAAGAAATGGAAGAATAAATTCTTACCATTTATTATTACCATCATCATCTCAGGATCCTTATTTAAAAGGAAATTAAATTTAAAGTCAATTTAAAATTCACCTTCAAAATAATGATATATGTGCATTCTTGTATTTCTTTTTTGAAATTATTTCCTACTAAATAACAATACTCAGAAGAAATACAAAAATATATACACATATGTCATATTATTTTAGAAGTGAATTTTAAATTAATTTAAAATTTAATTTCTTTTTTAATAAGATCATGAAAATGACGGTGATAACGACTCGTTAGAATTTATTCTTGTATTTTTTATTTTCACTTTTTTTTTTTACAGATAAGCATTTTTCATTTCTTTTTCAAATTATTTCTCTTTGCTAAAACACATCTCCGCGTATTACCTTCTCTTCTTTAACATAAGAGATTTGAAAAATCTTATGTGCCTCTTAAAAATGGGTAAAAGAAATTTTTTTATATTTAATAAAAACAATTTTATAATAACAAAAATATAAAATAAATATAATAAATTATTAAAATTCACTAAAAATATTAAGATCTATGTTGGACGATCTTAAAATAAATAAATATTTTTTAAAAATAAAATATTTTAACATATATAGTAATACAAGTCCCTCAAAGAGAAGATGATATGAAAAGAAGAAGAAAATTTCTAAGTAACATGATATATTTAAGAAATTAATAATCTCACCTTGTCAAACAAGCAGGAAATGGAACAGTACGTAGCAAGAGATCTTCAAGATAATTGAAAATCTTTGGAAGTTTTAGGGTTTCAATTGGAAAAAGTTGAAAGAGAATCCATGTGTCACACATTTTAGGACCTTGAGAACCAAGTTTAGTTTGAGAAGGATCCTTATTATCACAAAAAAGACGAAACATGAAGTTAAACGAAGCGACACTAAAAATAGTGTTGAAATCCGCTTTACCATTTTTTCCAGAAAGCCCTTCTTCAATCTCATTAAAAGCTTCAGAAAGTATGCTTCTAAAGAGAGGGACAAATGAGTCTTTTCTCAACAACAGTTGATTAAGAAAGAAACCTTTGATAAGAGCATGGCTTGGTTCAGTTGTGTCTAACTGTGAACACACACGGTAGCCACCGGTGAAGTTTGTCGACGGCATGAAGGTACCGTCGAAGACGTTGTGTTTCTCGACTTTTCCGTTGTCGAAGAGGATCGGGAAGGAAGCTGCGTCCAAGAGGGCAATGACTCTTGGGTTTGAGGAAATGAATGGACCTGGTGGCATGTTGGTTCTGAAGATTGTTGAATTGTATTTTTGGATTCTTGATGAGAAGAATTTGTCTCTTCCTTGGTTGTAGAAATAATCGTGTCGGTCCAAGATCGGTCCGAAGAAGGGGGGGCCATAGCTGCCAGGGATTTGTTTTAGTGGGAGCTTGTTGTTGGTGGTGGTTGTGAAGGAAGATTGTTTTCGTTCTGAGGATGCCATGTTGATCAAACTCTAAATATTTTTTATATGTTAATTGGTTTGGTTATGTTATGGCTTATGGTATAGGTGTTAGCTTTATATATATGGTGGCAGTAGTAGAAGTATAATGATATTTTGTGGCTTACTTAAAAGGACAACGTTTTGCATGAGCCTATATATCTTAGTAAGAAAGATAAAAATATGATACATTAGGTATTAGGTAAAATAAGATTTTGTAACTAAGTTTCATAATTTGTGTATTTTTTTTTTAAATTTAAAGATAAACAATAATAATTAGAGCCGTCTTTGAAGTCGTCTGAGATGAACAATTATACAAGATTTTAAATTTGTTAGTGTTAAATTATATAGTTAAATAAAGTTTCATAAATATTTATTAAGTTAAATTATAATTAAATAAGATTTTAATTTATTTTCTCATAATTAAATTATAATTAATCTTAAAAGAATTTTCAAAAATTTGAGACGACTTTAATAATAATCATTAAAAATTAAATTATATAATCGTGAATATTATATTAGAGTTCGATTTCCGATGATAATGTGTAAGTTAGTAGTATTGTTAGTTGAATTAAGATTTGTGGAGTAATTTGTATTATAAGATAAATTAAGAGATGGAGTATTATAAGAGACGTGGCTGTGTTATCAAGATCTCGTGACTCTGTCCCTTCCATCAAGTAGTATAATCAATAAGTTTGACTATTTGGAGGCTTTTGAAAATTTGTTAATCAATTAATATAATTGTGGAAAACGATATCCATGTGTTGTCACTGTGTGGAAAACGATTTCCATCAAGTAGTATATTCAATAAATATTCAATTTGGAGAATGTGATAAAGAATATATGTTGACAAAGCACAAGAAAAAGAGAGAAATAAGTTAAGAGGTAAATGAATTGTGTAATATTGATTCAAGTGATAAAATCATATTATTATAATAAATATTTATACACTTTTTTTTATAAGCAAGAGATTATATTTATAAAGCTTACCATGGTACTCTAACTATTTTACTCAAACATCAACTTTACAATACAATGTTTATTCCACAGGGTGTTTATATCATTCATTAAAGTTACATTTGAACTTACAATTTGGATATATTACCAACCATAATTAAGATATAAGTTTTATGTTGAAAACACTATTATTTTTGTGACGCGATTATTACGTGGTAAAAAATTGTCTAGTGTAACGTGATAAATATGTCATTACATTTTTTTAATATTAAATATAATAGCTGTTAATTTATCACGTGAAAATTTATATTTTTTGTTATTAAAAAATAGTTGCGGCGTGTTTATCATGTCAAAACTTTTAAATTTTTAATAAAATAAATCAAAAAGGTTTGACGCTCTGAAGGAGGAAAATTTGAAAATTTTATATAATTGATTGCGACGTGGAAATCACGTCGCAAATGTTTAAGAGGAAAAATGTCTGACTTTGAACTGATGGGGTGCAGGTTGAGTAATAATGGTTTCTGACGGTTGGGTGTTGCGACGTAATTATCATGTGGCAAAGTTGCGACGTGATAATCACGTCACTGATGGGCTAATAATTTATTTGACCATTGTGGCTTACGACGTGAATATCACGTGATAAATTTGTGACGTGATATTCACGTCGCTGATGTCTTTATATACTTTGCGCAATTTATTCGTCACAGACATCCATCTCATAATTTTTTCATTCTTTCTTCTTCTTCCTTTGTCAACAATTATTCATTCTTCTCTCACTCCCCACTAATCTTCCAATTATAATTTCAATTTTCAATTTGTTATTCAAGTATCAGGTGTAATTTTTTGTTCTTTCATATTTTTCAATTTAATTTAATAATTATTTAATCTTTATATTTATTTTGATTTAGTTAAAAAAATTTTTTGTCAAAGATTAACAATATTGAAGGGATTCATTGGTAGTCGATTTAGCAATATTAATAAAGATTGAAGGAGATTAAATAAGAGATATTTTATTTGTTTATTTTTTTTCTTCTGAAATTTTTATTGGGTTATTATATTTAATTTTGTTAGTTATATTTTACTTTTTTTATTATTATATATAATTTTAAAATAGATATATAATATATATTTTGATAAAACAGAAAGAAAAAAAAACAAAATATTTATTTATTTTTAAAACAGAAAATATATAAGTATTTTAAAAACAAAAATATAATATATATTTTTTAAAATAGAAAAATAAAACAGAAAAATAATTTATAATAGAAAAACAAAAAAATAATAAAAGAGAAATATAATATTTTTTATATCTATTTTTATAAAATAAAAAATATTTTTTTTAAACAGAATATTTTTTAAATAGAATATATTAATATTTTATGTTTTGTAAATTATCTATGTTTTGTAAATTATATATAAAAACAGAATATAATATATATGTATTGTAAACTATAGAATATATTATATATGTATATTTGAGATGAAATAAAACAAAATATATTAATAGTTAATGTTTTATAAAATTTAAAATTTATATATATTAATAGTTAATGTTAGTATGATAAATTAAGAATTCTTAAATTTATAATTTTAGTTTATTAATTTTATTATATTAAATTTAATATATTAAATTTATTATATATTGAATTTATTAATTTAGTTTATTATAAATTGAATTTATTAATTAATTTTATTAATTATAAAAGAAAAACAAATTTCAGTAATTAAATTAAAAAAAAAAAAATTATTGACGTGATTTCAACGTCACAAAGTTGTGAGATGTAAATCACGTCGCAACTTAATTTATTCCATAAAGAAAGAAAAGTTGAACGCATATTGTAATATATTAGTGACGTGATTTTCACGTCATAAATTAGTGACGTGAAAATCACGTCGCAACTTATTTTTTTTATATAAAAAAGTAAAAGCTGAATACAAGGAGAGGTGTTAAACGTTATTAATTAATGTCGTGATTTTCATGTCACTAATTTGTGACGTGAAAATCACGTAACAAATGAAGTGTTTTTTCTGACTTGACTCCTGCTGCGCCTGCTTCTTCTGTAAAGCCTGAATTTCTATGCAAGCATGTTACGACTTGATTTTCACGTCACAACTTTGTGACATGAAAATCACGTCGCAAAAAAATTACCTTTCCCTCCCCAGCCACGTGATTGTTCACATCTCAAATTAGGAGTTGTGACGTGATTTTTCATATTGTGGCGTGAATTTCACGTTGTCAATGAGTGTTTTTTTATAGTGTTCATTAACATCACCATACTCTTTATTAAAAATAATATCATTCCTTTTTTTCCGAATACACCAACAAATGATCATCCAAAGCACACTTTCTTTATGCTTTGCAACCCTACCACTGAGTTGGGCATTAGATTTCAGGATGTGCTTCATGATATTATCTTCCTCCACCAACCTAATATTCAGTCATAAACTGATCATCTACCAAATGTGATTAGAACTTTCACATGGAAACATCAAGTGAGATAAGGTTTCCTCTTGTATGAAGCACAATGAGTAGACTTTTCATGTACATTTGGAAACATCCCTCTTTTGAATAATCATGCCCTAGTTTGCAATTTATCCAAGAAAAGTCTCCAGTTGAATAACTTCAATATCGAAGGAGTTTTAGATTTCCAGATTTTTGACAGCACCTGATTCAATCTGACATCAGTGCCATTAGATGATTTTCCATGCAAAAAGTGATCATAATATGATTTTACAATGAAGTGATTCTCACAGCTGATGGACCAAACAAAGTCATCTCTCACGTCATTTTTAAGTACCACATCATCATGGACTCTTAATAAATCTGCTTTTTCGTCAACAAGTTAGCTAGCAAATTCATCATGCTCTTCCCACCTAAGATTCCACTGCCAAAATCCTTAACTCCAACTCCATATTGTTAGTGCACAAGATTAATAAATGAAGGAAAGGTAAGAGAGAATATATTTACTACAATGAAGGATATAAAGCTTATAAAAGGAATGATACAAATGATTGCTACTACTAGTTTATTTATACACAAAGTAAATTGCCACATAGGCCCTAATAAAATTAAATTTAATGACTAAGTTAAAAGGTACAAACAAGGAAATACTAAACCTAACCGCTATGCTAACAAACTCAGAACCCCAGAAGCTAAGAATACTTCTGGGCGTAACCGCAGAAGCTTCTGCTTCTGATTAATAACAATTTATGATTACATCAAAATACCACTTTTAACTAAGCAATCTCAGAAGCTTACAACTTCTGACTAACAACCTCAGAAGCTCTACTAATTTTGAATAATAACATCTTCTGAATATGAATTACTTCCAACACCATCCCTTAATTCATATTCAGCTAACCAAAAATCTTCAACACCAATTCCATCCTTTAAACACATAAAGTGTTCAGTCTTGACATCCTTCGTTAGAACACATGCAAGTTTCTTCTGGTTACTACAGTGTGAAACTTCTAATACTCCATTTAGAAATGTAAATTTCACCTTGAAGATCCACATGACGTTGATGTTTTTCTTCTCCTTCGAAAGCTCTGTTAACTGCAAAGTTTTGTTTCTTTCAATAGAATCAAGCTCTTCTTTCATGGCCTTCAACCACACTTTCTTCTTGAGAGATTCACATGTTAACAACACAACCACCAGTTGCTTCTTGGAGCACCAAGAAATAGGACTTTCCAGATATAAACAAAAATGTCTAAAAGTATTTCTTTTTTCAACTTTGTCTTCATACCAATCAGAGTCTGGATAATATATCAACTCTGCATTTGATCTAACACTAGAAGAGAATAACACTCCATATCTCCGAGTCCCTTCAGTATCTTGCAGCTTGTCAAACTCTACAAATCTCCTTGGTATATTTCCGACTCTATGTGGCCTCTAAACTTGTTCAGAATCTCTTGCTGATTCTGGAACAATATATCCTTTTGGAATCTCTTTAGAAGTTTGACTACCACCAGAAGCTCCACAATTGTTAGTTTCTAGACCTTGTTCAGAACCACTACCTTCAGAAATACCATCTTCAAAAGTTGGA